TCTAGTATTTTAGACTGGTTGGGCACTTTAAAATAACTTGCATTTATTGATCATTAAATAAATATTTTACCCCAAAATAGAAAATTTCATTATTTACTGACTGTCATTTTGTTTTAAACCCTTTTGTCATTTTTTTTTCTTCTGTTAATATGACATTTTTTAATTTTGACTATATAACTTTTCCTTCTTTTTGGAGCTTGGCATTATACATCACTGTACATTCTCTTAGGAAAATGTCTGTAAAATATCTACTTTTGTGTTTCACAGAAGAAAGAAAACAATATAGGTTTGGAACAACATGAGTAAATATATGAAATTTAAAAAAATAAATTATTTAATAAAAAGTAAATTATTAAATAACATTAATATAGTAAATAAATTTCTCTATATATTAATGAAAACTAGTAGTAAATTAAAATTGTGTATATACATTTTTTTTTCTAAATTATTCATCACAGAAGTAAATTGTTATAAAATGATTCATTATAGTTTGTTTGTTTCATTTATTTGGATAGATAGATAGATGGATGGATGGATGGATGGATGGATGGATGGATGGAAAAATACATTTACATGTATATACATACATTGGAAGAATTATTAATTTAAACGTCTGGTTTGTCCAGATGCATGTTTGTAAATTTAAAAATAGCTATAGTAAATAACCAGTGTGACATCAGCATCCATATACGTCACTAACAGCATCAGCAGAGATGATCTCACCTTAAAGCACAAGGGTCTTAAAAAGATCATCGGTGTCATATCAGTGTCTTTCATTGCTGTCACTCTCGCCTTGTCGCTTTCAGTTTGTTCTCTCCAGAAAGGCAGCAGGTTACATAATATCACATTCAAGAGGACAAATGTCCCGCTGGCAAACATGTCAGTTTGCTTGTTTTCTGTGTCTCCTGACTGTAGCAACGTGTTTCTTTAGTTAATTAATTAGTGATGCCTGATTTATGTTCCACTATTTAGCAGTTACAGTTCTTGTGTTTTATTTATTTGGATCAAGAGAAATCGAGAGTATGAGGGATTTGCAGTTTGATTTCAACTCAGTGTTTGATGAAGAAAAACAATTAAAACATAATAATTCACTTAGTGAGAAAAATAGGAACTGTTATGAGTTTGTAGAAGTTTTGTGTTTTGACAGGCTGAACTAAATCCACCACCGTTGGGTGTCATTTGTTAAATCAACCTGGGTTTGTGCAAACAACAGAAAAAAAAAACTTCATTTAAATAGTTATTTATTATAATATTGTTTTAATACTAATTAACAAATTGTTGGCAGAGCTCTCTGTTTTACATGAAATAAATGATCTAGTAAAGTGAATTTTGCTCTTACTCTTAAACGACCAGCTTCTGTCCTAAACTAGTCCCGATCTTTATTCTCATGAAGGCCTAATTAAGGATTGCGAGGATCCAGTGAGACACAGTGCTGGTGAATTGCGCTTAAACATGGTTTGTTTTGTGTTTGTCTGTCGCAGCATGTCTCTGCTGAACCATGACTGCCAGCCCAACTGTGTCATGATCTTTGAGGGCAAGAGACTCATGCTGCGAGCCGTTCGCCTCATCAGACCCTGTGAGGAGGTACAGCACATGTCCATCCATACACACTCACACACACTTTAGATCTTAGTCTTAGTCCGTTTTACCCTGTCTCACGCTCTCTCTCTTAATGTATGTCATTTTTATTCTGCCCTGACCCAGGGCTCTTTAAATTCATAGGAACTGGGAGAAAATTATAAACATGGGTCTCTGCTGTCACAGGGCCCTGGACAATATTACCAGTTGCCATTTTTTTTAATATTTTTTAGCCATTTCTTCAACATTAAATGGAATTTCAATGACTTTTCAAACATATTTTCCAAACACATTAAAGTTTAGAATTTTTTTTATTTTATTTCTTATTAATTCTCACTCTGTTTCTGTTAGTTTTCATTTAGTTTTAGATTTGTATTGTTTTTTGTTTATGCTTTATCATGTTTTTATTGTTTATTTTTATTTATTTCTTTTATTATATATATATAGTTTATATATTTTAATTTATACTTACCGGTAGTTAGTTTTAGAATCAAGAAAGTTTACATTAGTTTTATCATTTTAGTTTAGTTTCAGTTTGTCTCAGTAATGTTTATTTTTATTTCTGTTTATGTTTCCATTAACAAAAATGTTTTCACTCAGTTTTCATTAATAATAATTATATGAATAATAATAATTATTATTGTTAGTTTTAATTTAGTTTTAGCATTTTATCATTCTTTTTATTATGTCAATTTATATTTTTATTATATTTAGTTAGTTGTTTCCTTTAGTTAGTTATTTTAATTATATTTATTGAGTTTTGGAGTCATGAAAATTTATTTTAGTTTCAATTTTTCCCAGTAATGTTAATTTTTTATTTTCAATTTCTATTTCATTAACAAAAATGTTTTCATTCAGTTTTTGTTAGTAATCATAATAACACAGTCTCCTACCCCAAACTCACTCCATGCATTGATTGAGCCAAAAGTTGCAATGTCAGGCTGCTCAAATAAACATATAATATTTTCATAGTGCCATGCAGCCACAGTGTTTATACTTTCAGCCCATAAATATCTTCCTTGCTGCTGTCTGTTCATATTAAACTGGAACAGGAGAAAGTATTTTAACTGCCATTAAATTACACACATCACACCACAGTTTCCCAAGTGCAGGCACTTAACAGAGCCTCCTTCCAGATCAACTTCACCATAATTCAGTCATCTGATGTACATTTACTGCATTTAGCATCCGCTCTTATTCAGAGCGTCCTGCAGAACTCTTTAACCATCAGTCCTGACTAATCAAAGCTCATTTAAACCTATTTGCATGACCGCACACATCCGTCACACCACCAGCAGAGAGCCAAGATATGCATATACATTATTCATCTACATTAACACCTGAATCCATTCGGCTGATCTGTGGCTGGATGTGGTTTTTAGCCTCAAAGATAAAGAAACTCATTATGCGGCCGTTCTGTTTATTTCTGCTCTGAAAGTTTCGATATTCCAAAGTAAATCTGGAAGTCATACTTAATTTACCTCTGACAGGGGGAGGGAACGTCGAGAGAGGAAGTGAACTGGAGAATGAAATTACCAGCAAGCTGTCTGTACACAGGAAGTAATGAGAATTCACACTATAGGTGTAGGATATATACGACGGCAGAATACATGAGTGCTCATCGTCCCACAGACTCTGTTTACACACACACACACACACTCGTGGCGCGATTAGCATTCATACACCCACACACATCTGCACACTGTACACACGCTGCTGTTTGCTCATAAGGGTCATACTCATCTGTTCTGGATCTGTTTTTCGTTTTCTCCTCTTCCTGTTTCTGTTGCTTTCTTTTGCTTTCTGTTTTTTTTTTAAATAACTCAAAATAAGCATAAAATGATCAAAATATAGTACTAATATAGATTTTTAAATAAATTCACTTAATTATATTTTCAAATGTTTTTGGCCATTTTTAGTATATTTTTTCCATCTAAAATATTTATATATACATATATATATAGTTTAAAAAAAAAAATGTTTTATCATATATCTAAAACATAGTTTTTTTTTTGTTTGTTTCCCATATGGAGAAGTGGATGGTCAAGCACGTTGCATTATGGGATATAGTATTACGTGCAGTTTCTGTTGTTTTATACTGCACAATTTAAGAAAACGATATGTCTGCACTTATAAATAATAACCAGTGAAATTAAAAATGTAATTAAATACATGGAAATTTGATATTGATATGATATTAATATTCTGTTGGCACTTTATGCATTTCTTTTAAAAATAAAAGATAGTATGTAACACCAAACACGTCTGTAATTGGATGTACATAAAGAAAATGGATAATAAATAAATAAATCTTTCCCAAACCTCTAAAGACAGAAAGTCATCAGAAAATGCAATGCAGAAAATCATTGTTCAGATTCTCCCGAGTCACCTGTCACAGTAGATGATGAAAATGATTCAAACGATTAGCTCCTAATAATTCAACAGCAGTTCAGCCTATTCCGCTCGATTATCTGTATGTCAGCTGTGTTAACAACAGCCTTGAAGATGGTTGAACACATAAACACAAACATATGCACAATAAAGTAAAGCAGACACATTTTCTATTTTGTTTACATCCTGCAGAATTGGACCAAAGGGAAACCATGTGTTTTTCAAATGTTAGCTCAGCATGCAGACTTTCAAACTTCCACAAAACATTGCCTACGTTCCCAACCCTAGTGAGCTGCCATTGTGTTTATTGTATTTCTCTCTTAGATGATTCTGCTAGTTGTCTGAGATTTTTCATCTAACCATCTCTGATCTCTCTTTCTCATTCTCTTTAGCTCACTATAAGCTACACCGACATCCTCGCAACCAGCAAAGAGAGACGTTCCCATTTACAGGAGCAATACCACTTCCTGTGTCAGTGCACACGCTGTAGCACTGAGGACAAGGTGAGCCGTGTGAACAGCCCTTCAGATCTATCTTCCCTTCCCTGATCTTTCTCATCCTCCCTTTATCCTCATTTTTCTATTCCTCTCACTTTCACCCCATCGCTCCTGGAAAAGGCTTTCTCCCCGCCTCATTGTGTCCTGGCGGGATCGCTATCTATCATCCCTCTTCTGTTTTCCGCGCTCTCTTGCTTGGTGTCTGTTCCACTCGGCCCTCCAAAGCATCTGATGATGTGTCGAGTCTGTCGGACCGGCCCTAGACCATCAGCCCCGGGGAGCCCGTCCTCAGCAAGCCCTGTCATCTGTGATCATCACTGCGATGACAGGGGCATGTCAAGAGTAAAGCTTTGGATGGCATGCATGGGAGAGACGAGTACAAGAGAGCGGATGAATGTGGAGAGATGGGAATTTAAAGGTGAAGTGTGTCATTTCAGGGATGTTAAAATGCTTTTTCCCCCATCTGCACAAACTACTCTAAGTAAACCATTTGTATGTTGATTCCCAGAGAATTGTAAAGACTCAAGTTTGTTTCACTTCCATTTGGTTGAAAAATACAGTTCCATTTCTTTACCAATCTGTTTCTGAACTAGGCTGTGTCCCAATTCACACTCAGTACAACCTAAAGTGATGTGACATGTGGCCAAGCATGGTTACCCATACTTGGAATTAGTGCATTTAACCCATCCAAAGTGCACACACACAGCAGTGAACACACACACACCCGGAGCAGTGGGCAGCCATTTTTTTTGCTGCGGCGCCCGGGGAGCAGTTGGGG